CAGAACATAGAAGTGACGTGGAGGTGAGCGTGAGGGATCAATGAGCACTGTGGGGGACAGAAGAGGTCAACAAACGCAGTGTCCATTTCCCAGCAGAATATGGGAAACCATTTCTCAGCAATGGAATGACATTCAGTAGCATTGAGATTGGAAGTTGTACTTATATACAGTCTTCTTTTCGGATAACGGGGTTTACTTAGAATTCGAAAAATAACAAGAGGTTTTGCTTTAAAGTTAAAAGTGTACCAGTGGGCTTTTTACATCGTTGTATGCAATTCTTGTTTGCAGAAATGGACCTATACCATTAAAAAAAAAAAAAAAAAAACCTTAAAGCAGAACTCCAGGCAAAAACGTCTTCATAGGTCTTTGTTGCTGATTTTAATAAAGCTTAAAAATACTAACATCGGAACCACCGCTAATGTAAAGGAAAGCCCGACTGACTCACACTGATAACTAAGTGATGTCATCTGGGCCTGGTAAGGGTATGATATAATGTGATTGTGTGGGAAGGGTCCCACACAGAAAGGTCCCAAAAGGAGGCCAACTGCAGTTACGGACAAGGTTAACAATTATATTGAATATACAAATATAATGTAAAAATATGTATATCACTCACTGAAAAAAAAGACACCTTCACCCTGCACATAAAATACTGACAACGTTGTCAAACAATAAAATCAAAGCCTGGGCTCACAGGCACCCAAGTCACTCACTCCAGGAATATAAGTATCAAGGCAGGATGGAATTAAATGCAATAAGCAGAATAAAATAATATACTGCAACAGTGTAACAATATGAATCTGCTGATGTGACTCTTTGCTGCTTTGTTCCATTACTAGTGGTATTGCCTTGCATGATCTTACTGCAACAGCATACTTACATGCATATGAACTATTTCCATCATAACTCCACGCTAGATTGCCAGCATTTGATCCAGCTGACCGTAAACTCATCATATTCGACCTGGGGCCGTGGACTGCCTGGTCGATAACTGAATATACTAGTAGTCCACTGTGAACTGCATCCATAGCGTTATATAATATACATTCATAGCTGCTACAGCCCTGTGGGGCTTTCCTATATGGCATAGAGGTTCCTGCTTTGCTGTTTATCAGCAGATTCATATTGTTAAACTGTTGCCCTTGCAGTATATTGTTTTCTTCTGCTTATTACATTTCATTCCATCCTGCCTTGGTGCTTATATTCCGGGAGTGATTGACTGGCATGCCTGTGAGCCCAGGCATCAATTTTATTATTTGACAATGTTGTCAATATTTTATTGTGTAAGGTGAAGGTGTCTTTTTGTAGTGAATGATATACATATTTTTACATTATTTTTGTATAATCAATATAATTGTGTTAACCTTGTCCTTTACCGCAGCTGGCCTCCTTTTGGGACCTCTTTCTGTGTGGAACCCTTCCCACACAATCACATTGTATCATACCAATGTTGCTGATTTCCTACTTTCACTGAATATGTCATCCTTCTTCTGGTTCACTCAGTAGTTGCTCCGAAATAGCCTATTCATTTTCAAATCAAACCACAAATTCGCTTTGGTTTCCTGTTTGTAAGATCAGTGGCTGCTATGCCTCCTATTCCCCCAGCCACTTGTCTTGGCACATCCCTTCTGTAGTTCTTTCTCCAGGAAGCAGTGATGTAATTCAGCCCCATTTGCAGTGGTGGGCGGACCAAGACTCTCAGACACATTCAACATGTACAGTCCTAGTGTACCCACCCACATTCAATACAATTCTCTGTGGCTGACAGGAACTGTAGTTTCCTTTTACTGCAGAGAGAGAGAGGAGAGGATGTAATCCCGGTTGTTACTACTCCTTCTTGGCAGAGCAGATGCTGTTATCTTTTAAATTACAGAGACAAGATCATGAAAATTCAATTAGACTTTTCTCTGTTAAGGGTTTTCAAAATGTTATTAACTATTAAGTGTTGTGTGTAGGGGGTGTACCAGTGGGTGATTTTTTGCCTATCCTAGAGTTCTTCTTTAAGCAACAACAAAAAACCATGTCTGTCTAATTTTATCCATACTAATTTTTGAGGGTTCAGAAACTATTTCAACTTCGATAAAAGTATCACTGAAGGAATGGTCTCAGCAGAGTTTATGGCTTGCTGCTAATTTTGGGACACATGTACATGGAAGATGAATGAAAGTTCCACTGGCAATAAACAATTTAACTAGGTGTGCCAAAAGTAGTGCTTTGTGTTATCCATTTTATCCAAATATTGTGAAACATTTGGGGACAACCCCTGTGAATGATAATACATTTCTTGTAGAGGATAGTGGTGATACTTTCAGAAATGCAGTGTGTTTTTGTTGGCTATCAACCCTGTGAGTTGTAAACAACGTTTCATGGAGGAAGTTTATGTCACACTTTTTAGTTCAAAATTTCCCCAAATAATTTGGGGTCTAGAGTGGCTGGGTGATTCCATTTTATCATGCAGGAATTGAACAATTTGGCTTCAGTACTTGAGTATAATGGGGCAGACCCATAGCATATGCCATGAATTACCCACCAACTCATGGTTCTGGCCATAGCGGGCTGAGAAGGTGAGGATTTAGAAATCTTTAGTGCGCTCTGTTAAACCAATAAGGATTTTCCTTCACTATATTTATTAGTGCTGGACTACTGAAAATGAGTTTCCCATGTTAATCTTTGTGCTTTAAAATTCTTGATTTGGCGTATGCCAAACTGGTAGGGCTTCACCCATGCTGTAACACCCACTACGTGGTCTCTAAATGTAACGTTGATGTGGAGATGAGGACACACTGGCAGCTGTACTGTTGTAACTCACAGGTTTCTATGCACTTAGTGGCCACACAATTCCCTCTGTTGTCCTGTACAGAGAGAAAACTGCAAGTGATGTCAAATTCAAAGCCTTAAGATTCACCAGCAATAAATAAATTTCCCAACATAACCGGGGTGGCTACAGATCACATCTAATTCTGCATGCACTAAAATACACTACCATTTCCCTTCAAGCTGTAAAAAAATATAAAAAATGTAAATTATCTACTGAATATCAACAGATGAAAAGCAAGACCAATGATCTGCCTCAACGTTACCACTGCTTCAGGAAGGCATATGTGTCCCTGGCTTACAGGAGAGACGGAGATAGCATTGACTCCCATGGATCAGCAGAAAGACTTTGATGCAGCCTGTCCATTCCAATACTTTAGATTCATTATTTCCATTCTTTATACAGTGGGGATCGAAAGTTTGGGCACCCCAGCTAAAAATTTGTATTAATGTGCATAAAGAAGCCAAGGAAAGATGGAAAAATCTCCAAAAGGCATCAAATTACAGATTAGACATTCTTATAATATGTCAACAAAAGTTAGATTTTATTTCCATCGTTTACACTTTCAAAATAACAGAAAACAAAAAAATGGCGTCTGCAAAAGTTTGGGCACCCTGCAGAATTTATAGCATGCACTGCCCCCTTTGCAAAGTTGAGACCTGCCAGTGTCATGGATTGTTCTCAATCATTGTCTGGGAAGACCAGGTGATGTCAATCTCAAAGGTTTTAAATGCCCAGACTCATCTGACCTTGCCCCAACAATCAGCACCATGGGTTCTTCTAAGCAGTTGTCTAGAAAACTGAAACTGAAAATAGTTGACGCTCACAAAGCTGGAGAAGGCTATAAGAAGATAGCAAAGCGTTTTCAGATGCCAATATCCTCTGTTCGGAATGTAATTAAGAAATGGCAGTCATCAGAAACAGTGGAAGTTAAAGCAAGATCTGGAAGACCAAGAAAAATATTAGACAGAACAGCTCGCAGGATTGTGAGAAAAACAATTCAACACCCACGTTTGACTGCACGATCCCTCCAGAAAGATCTGGCAGACACTGGAGTTGTGGTACACTATTCCACTATAAAGAGATACTTGTACAAATATGGTCTTCATGGAAGAGTCATCAGAAGAAAACCTCTTCTCTACGTCCTCACCACAAAAATCATCGTTTGAACTTTGCAAATGAACATATAGACAAGCCTGATGCATTTTGGAAACAAGTTCTGTGGACCGATGAGGTTAAAATTGAACTTTTTGGCCGGAATGAGGAAAGGTACGTTTGGAGAAGAAGGGGCACAGAATTTAATGAAAAGAACCTCTGTCCAACTGTTAAGCATGGGGTTGGATCAATCATGCTTTGGGGTTGTGTTGCAGCCAGTGGCACAGGGAACATCTCACAAGTAGAAGGAAAAAATGGATTCAATAAAATTTCAGCAAATTTTGGATGGTAACTTGATGTCATCTGTGAAAAAGCTGAAGTTAAAGAGAGGATGGCTTCTACAAATGGATAATGATCCTAAACAGACCTCGAAATCCACGGGGAATTACATCAAGAGGCATAAACTGAAGGTTTTGCCATGGCCTTCACAATCTCCTGACCTCAACATAATTGAAAATCTATGGATAGACTTTAAAAGAGCAGTGCGTGACAGACAGCCCAGAAATCTCAAAGAACTGGAAGACTTTTGTAAGGAAGAATGGGCAAAAATACCTCAAACAAGAATTGAAAGACTCTTGGTTGGCTACAAAAAGCGTTTACAAGCTGTGATACTTGCAAAGGGGGCAGTACAAGATATTACCTCTGCAGGGTGCCCAAACTTTTGCAGACGCCATTTTTTTTTCTGTTATTTTGAAAGTGTAAATGATGGAAATAAAATCTAACTTTTGTTGACATATTATAAGAATGTCTAATCTGTAATTTGATGCCTTTTGGAGATTTTTCCATCTTTCCTTGGCTTCTTTATGCACATTAATACAAATTTTTAGCTGGGGTGCCCAAACTTTCGATCCCCACTGTATATATGAAAGGCTCAGTTCATTATGTCATATTTTTTGTGGTGACTGACAACACACAGACAAAAGATAATGTTTTTGAAAAGTGGTAGTTGGTATTCTTTTTAGTTGTAACTTAGACTACAATACTATGAGTACTTATTTTATAGCCTAGAGCGAGAAGAAAGAATACTTACCATACTTGAATCAATGACTTGTCCTTGCCCCGATCTAGTGCGTTCAAATAGAGACATGACAATGCCCAGTGCACATATGTAGCTACCGCCTGCAAAGTCTGCTAAGAGATTAAGGGGAAAAGTCGGTTCCTCATGTTTCCTTCCTAGTTTCGACAACAAACCTAAAAGGACAGACAAAGCAGCATTTGGCACCATTAACTATTAAATGAATTATAGAACAGATCAATCAATATACTGCTAGATGGGGAAATAGAGTAACATGTCAAATTGTAATAATATTGCATTATCATCAAAGGGTCCATCTCCTAAAAGTCCTGGCAACCCTGGTGAAGAGGTCTCCCTTTAGAGACACCTCTGCTGTGGTATAGCTTATATCTCCTAGACACCAGTGAAGAATACAGAGATCAAGTCCCGTGGTGTAGTTAATAGTTCTTTCAATTAAAAAAATGAAAGCTGCGTCTCAGGTTTGAATTGCACAACCTGAGCCTGATGGCATTGATAGAACACCGGTAGATTGATATACCCTGGAGAGGACTTTATTCTCTGTTGTACAGAGGAATATTCACTGTGGAATCCATGGAGAGAAACGTAAGAAAATAATACTCCTATTTGTGCCAATTTCCTTTTTTTTTTTGCTTTACAGAGTACATTTCCATTAATCCATGCCTCTAAAAGAGCTCCCTAACTATTGTCCCAACTTATACTAGAGCCAGTTTGGGAGGGAACCAATGGACCTACCAATTATACTTTTATATCCTGGCTGAAAACACAGCTATTAGGAGAGCAAAAAAAAGGAAACACATGCAAAGTTGGAGCACATGAGCAAGATGTTCTGCTGCAATGCAAAATAACTAACCATTTATGTACATCACATCTGTCATACACATAGCCCAGGAGCCAAATCTGGCCCGCCAGGCCATTTCATATGGCTCTCACACCTCACCTGCAGCTGTGGCGCGCCCCTTTGTCTCTGCCCCCGCCTTGTCTCAGCAGTTGGCACTTCTCCGTGTACCCATAGAGAGGCTAATCTCTGCCACCTCCCCACCACCACCACAGCAGCAGAGAGGAGGACACAACTCCTACAGATCTTGTGCCTCTCTGTGCAGCCACAGCGTCCCTTCATTTCCGCCTCCCCTACTCTCAGCATATTTTGGCAGCCCTCCTCTGGTCCTCTTCCAGACCCAGCACTTTTTGATTCCCAGCTTCTTTCCAGCAGTAAACAAGGTAAGGGAGGTGCACTGCGATGCAAGGGAGGGTGTGGGTGCTCTTGACTTCCAATGTTGGGCGGGGGGCTCTTGACATCTGATGTAAGGGGGGTGGAGTGTTCAAGACATCTAGTCTTACAGATACAACCGGCCCCTTGAAGGAAACCATAATGCTGATGCAGCCCACAATATAGTTGAGTTTGAAACCCCTGATGTACAGGATGCATCCTTCTCTACTACTCTCTATGCTCAACAGTCCTCAGGTCCTCTGAACTACCTGTAGTCAAATTAGACTTGAAGGTGCTAATCTGGTGGCAGATGAAATACACAAAATATACATAAACCAGCAAAACAGCCCTTACATAAATCAGGGACTATCAATATACAAGGTATTTGAAAATAGGCAGTTTCTTTAAAACTTCAATATTCTATTGCTACGCTCCATATATTCTGTTACAGTAAGCAATAAAAGGCTCTTAATTTTTCAAAATTGTAAGTATAAATTTCTAAATCAATCCATTAGAGTGCATAATGCATGAGTTTATATTATTATAATAATAGCAATATGAAAGATTTCACGCTGTATTAAGTATGCACATACATTGTACACTTTCATTTGACCTTTTATCTACTTTCTTAATTATTATATTACACATGAGCAAGTTCTACCAATACAATGCAAAACAGATTTATCGAGGGACCCTGCTCTTTCAAATCAAGTTTTTGACCTTTGACCTTTCTTTATTCATTGTCACACATGGATTTGCATGGAGATAGGCCTAATGCAACTTGGTTTCATGCAACTTGGCAAAAAAATTCTGAAAAACTTCAAAGTTTAATGTGGCCCATTGTGAGATGAAAGCTTTTACAGCAAGATAGCAGGGAATTACAGAGCAAGAGTGCACAAGTATAATATTTCCCATTCTGCAGAGTTCCACACTCCGCATTCACTTCTCAGGTGCTGGCTCGGCTCATATCCACCAAAGCAATCAATTGTACCAGCAGCAGGAATACCGCAAACGGAGATGCAAAAAAATATACAGTGGATATAAAACTCTACACACCCGTTAAAATGTCAGGTTTCTGTGATGTAAAAAAATTGTACAACTCATTTGAACAACAAACTGAAATCTTTTAGGTGGAGGGAAGTAAAAAATAAAAAAATAAAATAATATATGGTTGCATAAGTGTGCACACCCTAAACTAATACTTTGTTGAAGCACCTTTTGATTTTATTACATCACTCAGTCTTTTTGGGTAGGAGTCTATCAGCATGGCACATCTTAACTTGGCAATATCTGCCCACTCTTCCTCGCAAGAACACTTCAAATCTGTCAGAACTCCTGTGCACAGCCCTCTTCAGATCATCCCCCAGATTTTCGATCAGATTCAGGTCTGGGCTCTGGCTGGGCCATTCCAAAACTTTAATCTTCTTCTGGTGAAGCTATTCCTGTGTTGATTTGAATGTATGCTTTGGGTCATTGTCATGCTGAAAGATAGTACACCACTGTTGTCTTCCATGGACATCCATGCCTTTTTACACTGCTGAGCTCACCAGTGTGTTCTTCTTTCCTCACAATGTACCAAACTGTTGATTTGGGCACTCCTAATGTTGTCGCTATCTCTCTGATGAATTTGTTTCATTTTTGAAGCCATACAAAGGCCTGTTTCACTTACATGGACAGCTCCTTTGAACACATGATGTAGGTTCACAGCGATAGATTCAATGCAAATACCACACTTAGAATCAACTCCAGACCTTTTACCTGCTTAATTGATGAAGAAATAATAAAGGAGTAGCCCACACCTGGCCATGAAACAGCTTTTGATTCAATTGTCCAATTACTTTTGGTCCCTTGAAAAGGGGGGGGGGGGCTGCTCTTAAGAGCTGTAATTCCTAAACCCTTCCTCCAATTTGGATGTACATACCCTCATATTAAACCTGAGAGTGTGCACTTTCAGCCCATATCCATTATATAACTATAGTCTGTGTCCAAATATATATGGACCTAACTGTATATCAAAGAGTTTATAAACTTGTAAACTTGCTAAAAAGAGAAGAAAAAAAAAAAGAAAGAAAAGTTCAAATACTTTCCTTTAAGTGTAAATGGTATTTGTGATGTTGGTGCATACCTGAGAGAGAGACGTAGTTAATATCATGACCTGCTGCCCTGGCAAATTTTCCAGATTGTCCGAATCCCGTCAACCGTGCATAAATGAGCTGAGGATTTTCTTTTAATAAGACATCTGGACCGAGCCCCAGATTTTCCATCACACCTGTGTATAAAAGCACAGACCGCTTTCATTATAAAATAATATCTGCATCAGAAAGTTTCATACTATTTTTTTTTTACAAATACCCACATAATAATTAAAACCTCTCCATTAATGATTTTTAATCCTTATGATGCTAGCCTTAGTAAATAGATAGGAGGGTATACTGTATTTATTTTTTACTTTTCTTCAGTTGCTTCCTGGTTGTTGGCCTAGGCTAAAATGACGTACTACATCCCAGGAGTCTTCATGTGCATTTTTGTTTCATTTCATCTGGTGAAGGAGGGGCCTTCTCAGCTAAGCACACCCTCCTGTCTGCATGCCTGAACTAAGAACAGATGGATTCCATATGTCCTTACTTAAGATGGCCACAACCAAAAATGCCAGAGGGTGTTTATCAAAGTGATTTCTCAACAAAATAAATCATGGAGACATGGATCGATGAGCGAGTTTGCTTTGAATAATAAAAATGAATGTAATAGCGCTTTCAGTTTGTCATGGTCAGATACAGTTTAGTTCCACTTTAACTAAGTGCATACTATATTTATATGGTGCCCCTACACCTGAAGATGTTTTGTGGCAAAGACGAAAGACCGTTAACAACCCACTAACTGGATGAACTGTGACTATTCTTGCTAATCAGGTGCAAAAAAAATGCCAGACACCGCACTTAGGGGTTGATTTACTAAAACTGGAGAGAGCGAAAACTGGTGCAGCTCTGCATAGAAACCAATCAGCTTCCAGGTTTTATTGTCAAAGCTTAATTGCTGAAGTTAGAAGATGATAGGCTAGCTTGCACAGCTACACCAGATTCTGAGTGCGCCAGTTTTAGTAAATATCCCCCATAGTGTGAAAGGGCCCCAAGTTTGCACTCACTGACCAACAGCAACATACAGTCAGGTCCATAAATATTGGGACATCGACACAATTCTAACATTTTTGGCTCTATACACCACCACAATGGATTTGAAATGAAATGAACAAGATGTGCTTTAACTGCAGACTGTCAGCTTTAATTTGAGGGTATTTACATCCAAATCAGGTGAACGGTGTAGGAATTACAACAGTTTACATATGTGCCTCCCACTTGTTAAGGGACCAAAAGTAATGGGACAGAATAATAATCATAAATCAAACTTTCACTTTTTAATACTTGGTTGCAAATCCTTTGCAGTCAATTACAGCCTGAAGTCTGGAACGCATAGACATCACTAGACGCTGGGTTTCATCCCTGGTGATGCTCTGCCAGGCCTCTACTGCAACTGTCTTCAGTTCCTGCTTGTTTCTTGGGGCATTTTCCCTTCAGTTATGTCTTCAGCAAGTGAAATGCATGCTCAATCGGATTCAGGTCAGGTGATTGACTTGGCCATTGCATAACATTCCACTTCTTTCCCTTAAAAAACTCTTTGGTTGCTTTTGCAGTATGCTTTGGGTCATTGTCCATCTGCACTGTGAAGCGGCATCCAATGAGTTCTGAAGCATTTGGCTGAATATGAGCAGATAATATTGCCCGAAACACTTCAGAATTCATCCTGCTGCTTTTGTCAGCAGTCACATCATCAATAAATACAAGAGAACCAGTTCCATTGGCAGCCATACATGCCCACGCCAAGACACTACCACCACCATGCTTCACTGATGAGGTGGTATGCTTAGGATCATGAGCAGTTCCTTTCCTTCTCCATACTCTTCTCTTCCCATCACTCTGGTACAAGTTGATCTTGGTCTCATCTGTCCATAGGATGTTGTTTCCAGAACTGTGAAGGCTTTTTTAGATGTCGTTTGGCAAACTCTAATCTGGCCTTCCTGTTTTTGAGGCTCACCAATGGTTTACATCTTGTGGTGAAACCTCTGTATTCACTCTGGTGAAGTCTTCTCTTGATTGTTGACTTTGACACACATACACCTACCTCCTGGAGAGTGTTCTTGATCTGGCCAACTGTGTTGTGAAGGTGTTTTCTTCACCAGGGAAAGAATTCTTCGGTCATCCACCACAGTTGTTTTCCGTGGTCTTCCGGGTCTTTTGGTGTTGCTGAGCTCACCGGTGCGTTCCTTCTTTTTAAGAATGTTCCAAACAGTTGTTTGGCCACGCCTAATGTTTTTGCTATCTCTCTGATGGGTTTGTTTTGTTTTTTTCAGCCTAATGATGGCTTGCTTCACTGATAGTGACAGCTCTTTGGATCTCATCTTGAGAGTTGACAGCAACAGATTCCAAATGCAAATAGCACACTTGAAATGAACTCTGGACCTTTTATCTGCTCATTGTAATTGGGATAATGAGGGAATAACACACACCTGGCCATGGAACAGCTGAGAAGCCAATTGTCCCATTACTTTTGGTCTCTTAACAAGTGGGAGGCACATATGCAAACTGTTGTAATTCCTACACCGTTCACCTGATTTGAATGTAAATACCCTCAAATTAAAGCTGACAGTCTGCAGTTAAAGCACATCTTGTTTGTTTAATTTCAAATCCATTGTGGTGGTGTATAGAGCCAAAAATGTTAGAATTGTGTCAATGTCCCAATATTGATGGACCTGACTGTATATAGGAATATATAATATTCCTCAGGATCTTTGACTCTCTTATGTAAAGTGTATGGAAAAAAGAAAAAAATATGCAATATACCTCTTTCACATATGTGACATTTCCCAATGTTGTATTAATTTAAAGATCCTGTGAGACCAGAAAAATACTAGTTGATCTGCCAGAAATGCGCTAAAGCACACAGCATTTTTTGGACTTAAAGGTGTCAGCCCTGCCCAGTTTCTATTGCTAAACTGTTCAAGCCCTTCCACTCTTAGGTCTCAGAATACAAAATAGGGACTAAGAACTAGGAGCGCTAATTAGGCTCCATGAGACAACACAGGAAGTTTGCATGAGACAGCTCTGTGTTTCTGACAGATCGACACTTGTCAAACCAATACACACTATATTACTAAAGGCAGAGGCGGACTGACAACTCATGGGGCCCCCGGGCAATAGGGGATCATGGGGCCCCTGTGTCCTTGCCCAAACTCAAAAAAGCCTATGAAAAAGGTACCAGGGGCATCTCATGGGTCCCCCTACTGACCCCAGGGGATCAGGGGGCCCCTGTGTCCTTGCCCAAACTCAAAAAAGCCTATGAAAAAGGTACCAGGGGCATCTCATGGGGCCCCCTACTGACCCCAGGCCCTCAGGCAGTGCCCGAGTTTCCAAATGGTCAGTCCGCCTCTGACTAAAAGTATTGGTCGGCCTGACTTTACACGCACATGAACTTTAATGGCATCCCAGTATTGAGTTATCCCACCCTTTGCAGCTATAACAGCTTCAGCTTTTCTGGGAAGGCTGTCCACAATGTTTAGGAGGGTGTCTATGGGAAGGTTTGACCATTCTTCCAGAAGCACATTTGTGAGGCAGGCACTGATGTCGGATGAGAAGGCCTGGCTCGCAGTCTTCACTCTAATTCATCCCAAAAGGTCAGGACTCTTGGCAGATCAGTCAAGTTCCTCCACCCCAAACTCGCTCAGCCTTGTCTTTATGGACTTTGCTTTGTGCACTGGTGTGCAGTCATGTTGGAACAGGAAGGGGCCATTCCCAAACTGTTCCCACAAAGTTGGGAGCATGAAATTGTACAAAATGTCTTGGTATGCCAACGCCTTAAGAGTTCCCTTCACTGGAACTAAGAGGCCAAGCCAAAACCCCTTAAAAACAACCCCACATCATAATCCCCCCCCCCTCCTGGCACAATGCAGTCAGGCAAGTACCGTTCTCCTGGCAACTGCCAAACCCAATCAGATTGCTTGACAGAGAAGCGTGATTTGTCACTCCAGAGAACACGTCTCCACTGCTCTAGAGTCCAGTCGCAGCATGCTTTACACCACTGCATCCGATAGTTTGCTCTGTACTTGGTGATGTAAGGCTTGGATGCAGCTGCTCGGCCATGGAAACCCATTACATGAAGCTCTCTATGCACTGTTGTTGTGCTAATCTGAAGGCCACATGAAGTTTGGAGGTCTTTAGCTATTGACTCTGCAGACAGTTGGCGACTTCTGCGCACTGTGCGCTTCAACATGCGCTGACCCCACTCTGTCATTTTGCATGGCCTTCCACTTCGTGGCTGAGTTGCTGTTGTATAAGTAGTCAGGTCCACGGTGTGAGGAGTCAGGTGACCTCATCCATGCTGACATCCTCATTGTTCATCTGGGCCACTGTTTATCAATCCGGAGTCCTGAGCCTCCTCAGTCCACTCTCTGAGTCTCTGCAGAGGAGCCCACCTCACACACACCTGCTGCATTTTGCTGGCTGGCAATCACCTCCGAGGCTCAAGCTTGCCACACACCCTCCCCGAGTCCCACCCAAGCACTGGGAGGCATAAGGCTCCATCTGACCTCGCATCACTGTGTTCCGACAGCCGCCTGAACAGCTCAGTCCGTGTCAGTCAGAAAGCTGCATGTCTGTAAGTGGTGGAAATTGCCAGGCAGCATACAGAGCTTGCATCGATTTCAATGAACTTCAGCTGTCTTGACTTCCAGAATGCAGCCCGGGATAAGGTCATTTTGAGACAGCTGTCAAAAATTCGGAAGTGTCCCAGACAATTCATGACAGCTGGCAACTATGTAGGTGTGGATACCACTGTCACTATCAGGAAGCTGGTCTATAGCAATGAGATGTGCAGTTGATGCTGGAGGGAGTACATGTAGATAGGAAGTACCTGAAAAAGGTTGGAGGAGATCACCAGCCCCGAGATGCAAAACAGTATAAAAAAAGGTTTAAAAAAAAATAAAATTATAATGATGCACAGTGATTTAGCAAGTTAAACTCTAACTCTGGGTTTCCTTTCACTTTAAATAGTTTGTTTGGACCAACTATTCCTTTACCAACTGCTGCAGCCGCTGTCTGCCCTGTATAAACGGTTTGTAGGATCATTTTGTTTCAGCAGCAAAGTCCACAACCCGCTTCCTGAACACAATGTCACATACGGTATGTAGCTACATACAGTTTATACAGCGCTGACAGTGGC